GGTGGCAACAAAGAGAATGCTGAGCATGTCTTATTGACTCAAGGAGAATGGAAAGAGAAAAAAATGTAGCGACAATGGAGGCCATAGCCGAGGGCGAGGTCGCAGTGGTCGCTAGAGAGGAAGAGGTCATGGACGTGGAAATGACTCATTTCATCAAGAGAAGAAGACTGACAAGAGCAAGGTAAGATGCTACAATTGTCAAGGCCTAGGCCACTATGCCTCAGAATGTCGGAAGGTGAAGTGTTATATGTTGACTCTGTCAATTCGTAGGAAAATGTCGACGAAAAACTGGCCGAAGGTTTCTTGGAAAGAAAAAATAGCGAAGTAAAAGGAGAGAGGGAGAGAGATTCGCTGAGATTTGCTGAAGACTCGATGTTTTATTTCTCTTCAGTTGAATTGTTTAAATAACAAATCTAATTACAAAAATAGAAAAACTAATTACACAAAAATAGAAAAGTGGGTGAAGATTTTGCCCAATTTGGGCAAAAATGGGCAGCTAGAATTACGCTCTTCCATTGGCGTGAATTCAGAAGTTTTCAGATGTAAAAACAATCTAACTAAATAAGAAACATAGCTTTTATTTAACAATCTCCTCCTAAAAGCTGTGCTATATCTACCTTATTATTTGAACTCCGATTTTTTAGCGTAGTTTTTCAAATTTTACCCGCGCCAGGGACTTGGTGAAAATGTCTCCAAGTTGTTCCTCTATTCGGATCAAATCAATCTTGATGAGTCCTCGATCTGCACATTCTCGAATGTAGTGGAATCTGATTTCTATGTGCTTGCTCCGGTCTTGCAGAATTGGATTTTTTATCAGGGAGATCGTAGCTTTGTTGTCTACGTATAACATTGGTGGATCGCTTTCTCTCCCGATGAGTTCTACCATTAGTCGCGCAAGCCAGACTCCTTGTGTTGCTGCCATTGAAGCGGCGATGTATTCTACTTCACAGGAAGACAAAGCAACTACCTTCTGTTTTGTTGATTGCCAGCAGATCGCGCCGCTTGAGAGGAAGTAGATCATTCCACTGGTGCTCTTCCAATCATCAACGTCACCGGCCATGTCACTATCACTGTAGCCGACCAGCTTGAGTTTCTCCTTTCCTCTTCCTGCGCAGTATCTTACACCCCAGCCTCTGGTTTCGGCTACATAGCGCAGGATGCGCTTGACAGCCACTAGATGCTCCTCCCTAGGTGCTTCCATAAACCAGCTCACATATCCAACAGAATAAGCAAGATCAGGACGAGAGTTTACCAGATAGCGCAGACTCCCGACAATGCTGCGGTAATTGGTGGAGTCGACTATCGTCGTAGTGCCGGCCTTCCTTAGTTAGAGTCGGGCCTCCATTGGCGTCCTTGTCGGATTACTGTCCAAAAGGCCAGTTGTGTCCAATAGCTTCTTCACGTATGCACTTTGGCAGATGGAGATGCCGGTAGAATTCTATTGCACTTCGATGCCGAGGTAGTAGCTAAGCACACCGAGATCGCTTATCTTGAAGTTCTTTGACATCTCCTTCTTGAACCTTCCGAGAACTTCCACGTCGGCTCCAGTGATTTTGAGGTCGTCGATATACACGCCCACGATCAGTCGCTGCTTGCCATGGCCGTGTGTGTACATGCCATGCTCAGAGGCACAACATTTGAATTTCAGTGACAGTAGGGTACTGTCGAGCTTCGCGTTCCAGGCTCGTGGGGCTTGTCGAAGCCCGTAGAGTGCCTTGTGCAGGCGCAGTACCTTATCGGGGTTGTCGTTGTCCAGGAATCCAGGTGGTTGTCGGACATAGACGGTCTTCTTCAGCTCTCCGTTAAGGAAAGCAGACTTTACGTCCATAAGGTGAACCTCCCAAGAGTAATGTGCCGGAATTGCCAGCAAGAGACGAACGGATTCTAACCTTGCCACTGGTGCAAATACCTCTTTGAAGTCCACTCCTTGCTTCTGGACGTAGCCCTTCGCCACCAAACGGGCCTTGTGTTTCACAACTTCTCCTTTTTTGTTGCGCTTCAGTTTAAAGACCCATTTGAGCCCTATGGCTCGGTGTCCCGGCGGCATATTCTCTAGACTCCATGTCTAGTTCTCGGTGATGGATGTCATCTCCTCCTGCATTGCCTTCAGCCAGCATGGGTTCTTTTCTGCTTCGGCGAAGGTGTTCGGTTCATCTACACTGATGGCATGTAGTTCGGCCACTTCTTCGAGCTCGCGTGTTGCCAGTCCAAGTGGTTCACCTCCTCCCACTAGGTCGTCCATCCTTCGGTACTTGGCCTCCAGATCAGCATTGTGATCGACATCCAGCGTCGAATTCGCAGTCCGTGGTGTTGCGAATTCCACTAGTTCAGAGGGTGCACCTGCTGGCGGAGGTGATGGCTCCTGATTCTGGGCTCCTCCTTCTTCCGGCTCGGTGACGAGGTACTCCACCGTGAATTTATTTGGATTATGGTCTGCTTCGATCTCGTCATTCCACTGCAAGAAGGTGCTTTCGCCGAAGACGACGTCGTGAGACACGTGAGCTTGCCCCCTACAGGATCATTGGATTGAGCTTGGCGAGGTGGGGACGTGTTACCTTCATGTATACGACGCAGCCGAACACGTGGAAATGATGTATCGCTGGCTTTTTGTTGTACCAGGCCTCATATGGCGTCTTCCCGTTGAGGCTTCGGGTTGGTGACCGATTGAGTAGATAGACGGCCGCCTCTCCCCAGAATCTCCCAGGAACATAGCTTTTATTTAACATTATAATTGTCAAAAAATTGGCCATTATGCATCCGGCTGTAGATCAAAGAAAAGGGAGGGTCATTATGCATCCCAATGTAGATCGAAGAAAAGGGAGAATCAGGCGCACTTAATTGAGACGCAAAGTGATGAGGATGAGCCAACCTTACTTACAGCACAAGTTTGTGAAGTCCGAACTCTCGATTCACCAGAGTTGACGGAGATGACTCTTTATGAAGAGAAGGTTGTCCCAGAAGAAATTGAGAAGAAAAGCAACACTTGGTTCCTAGATACGGGAGGCAGCAATCATATGACTGGTTGTCAAAGTTGGTTCTCGAAATTGAACGAGTTAGTGACCGGCATGGTGAAGTTTGGAGATTGATCACTTGTAGAGATAAAAGGACGTGGAGGTGTGAAGATTGAATCAGAGAAAAAAACAGACAAGCGAGAAGAGAAGAAGAGCGATGGCGCTGTGGCGGAGGTCCAGAATGTGGCAATGGAGGTAGCAAAAGCAAAGGAGATTAAAGAGAAGGACTGTGACGGCGAGAAGAAGGAAAAGGAGGACGGAAACTATGGCAGTGCTATTGAAAAATAGGTCGCCAGAGAAACAAAAGCAGAGAAGGAGAAGGAGAAGGAGGCCATTGTTTTCGACAGTGCAATTGAAGTAGCACAAGTAATTAAACCTATTGAAGAGAAGTTGTTGGCCGGACAAGTAGAACAGGTAATTAAAACTATCAGTGAAAAACAGCTGCCCATTGAAACGAAGACAGAGAAGAAGGAAAGCGGTGATAATGGCGGTAGCGGCAGCGTTAAACAAGTAATCAAACTGATGAAAGGAACTATTGATATTGGATGTCATTATGTGAAGGCAAAGCAAGTAGAAAGAAACAATTGCATGGGAATCCAATTACATGGACTTCAAAGAAACAAAAGATGGTGGCACTTTCATCCCGTGAAGGGGAGTATATTGTGGTGACGTTAGCTGCTTGTCAAGGAATATGGTTAGGACGTTTACTGAAAGAATTGGTTTGAAGAATGTAAAAATGTGAAGATCGAAATACAAGATTAAGGGGATGATTTGTTAGTTTGTTTAATCTTGTATTACAGTTTTAGTATCTGTGGATAACAGCAAGGGAAGTTATTAGCAATTGTTGCTGGGAAGTTAGTGTAGGTTATTAGCAGTTATTTAGATTTTTTTCTGTCTAAATATGTACAGTGCATCAAGTTGAAGAGGACAATGAAGTTTGTTTTTGCTTATTTTTTATGAGTGTTGTCTCTTTCTTGTATGAGTGTGTCTGACATTGTGTCGCTAGCCAATGCTTAATGTCAGTCAGAAATCCCACATCATTCTCAATGACTAGAATATCGTCAACGTACAACATCAGGAAAGCTACTGTAGAGTTGATTATCCTTTTATAAACACAAGGTTCGTCAACATTCTGTTTAAAGTCATCAGATTTGATTGCAGTAAAACTTTATATTCCAAGATCGATATGCTGAATTCAACCCATAAGTGGATCTTTTAAGCTTGAAAACCCTTTGCTCGTGATCCGATTGAATGAACCCCTCTGGTTGAGCCGTATAGATACTCTTTTCAAGATTTCCGTTTAGAACGGCTGTCTTAATATCCATTTGCCAAATTTTATAATCACAAAATGTGGCAATGGACAAGAGTATTCTAATCGATTTAAGCATAGCAACAGGAAAGAAGGTTTCTTCATAGTCTACCCCCTCTCTTTAGGTATAACTCTTTGCTACAAGTCGAGCTTTAAAGGTCTGTACCTTACCGATTTAGTCTTCTTTCCTCTTATAGATCCATTTACAACCAATAGGTTTTACCCCATCTGGTTGATCTACAAGTTCCAAGACTGAATTGAAGTACATTGACTCCATTTCAAGATTCATGGCTTTGATCCACTGATCTTTATCTTCATCATTCATTGCCTATTTATAGATCAATGAATCCTCAACGCCATCATCAGATATGATGACTTGAGTTTCTGCCAAATCCAAGTAATGATTGGGTTGAGTTATAACCCTCCCACTACGTTGAGGCATTCTCAACCCTTGAGAAGGATGTGATTGACCAGAAGTGCCAGCTCCATCAACAATTCTTGTTGAAGGACCAACTTGATCAACAACTCTTGTTGTTTTATCAGTAGCTTCTTTAGAAATCTCACTTAATACTAGTTTGCTGCGAGGTTGATTATTTCTTTCCTGGTCTTCCTCTAAGAATGTAGCATTTTTTGATACAAACACTCTATTTTCTTGAGGGTCATAAAACAAACTACCTCTCATCTCTTTGGGGTATCCTACGAATATACATAATTTTAAACGACGTTCTAATTTCTTGGGATTTTGCAACAACACATGTGCTGGGCATCCCCAAATCCTGAAGTGACGTAAACTACCTTTACGCCCTTTCCATAACTCATAAGGTGTTTCTGAAACACTCTTAGAAGGAACCATGTTCAAAATGTATGTAGCAGTCTCCACTACATATCCCCAAAACGGATCAGGTAATTGAGCGAAACTCATCATAGACCTAACCATGTCTAACAGAGTTCTATTTCTCCTTTCTGATAAACCACTCTATTGAGGCATACCAGGGGCTGAGAGTTGAGACGTTATTCCATGTTCTATCATATAGTCCTAAAATCTTAAGTCCATATACTCTCCACCTCGATCTGATTGAACTGTTTTAATAGTTTTACCTGATAGATTCTCAACCTCAGTCTTATACTCTCTGATTTTTTCAAGAGCTTTGGACTTGTGATGCATTAGTTAAAGATAGCCACTACCTTGAATAATCATAAATAAAACTTATGAAATAGTCATACCCTCCTCGTGCTTTGACATTCATTGGACCACAGAGATCTGTATGCATGAGTTCTAAGGTTTCTTTGGCTCTATAACCTTTTTCAGAAAACGATCGTTTAGTCATTTTACCATCAAGACAAGACTTACATGGAGTTAAATAGTTGTCTTCTAACTCATTTAGAAGTCCTCCTTTAACCAATATCTCAATCCTATTGAGATTAATGTGGCCTAGTCTTAAGTGCCAAAGATAGGTATTAGGAGAAATCTTTTGTCGTTTATTTTGAGTTTCAGCTGTTTTAAACATCTCGGTATTTAAAATATCTTTTGTTTCGCTCGGTTTTAACATATATAAGTTGTTTTCTAGTTTTGCAGAACAAATATGAATACCTCTTTTGCAAATGAACACTTCCACGATTTCAAAAGATACTTTATACAATTGTTCAAATAAACAATAGATAGATATTAGATTTCTTTTCATTCCAGAAACAAAAAGTATATTATCTAATATAATAAATCTATCTCCAAAAAACAATTTTAAATTTCCTATTGATCTTGCTGAGACAACCTCTCCTGTTCCAACCTTGAGTGTTATCTGGCCGTCCGCAAGCATTCTCTAGGAGCTAGTTTCCTCGAAAAAATAACAAATATGATTAGTGGCCCCTGAATCTAGTATCCAAGTTGAGTTATCATACTCTACTAAACATATTTTCTATGAGTAAATAATATTTACCTTGTTGTATCTTTTCGGCATTTTTCTCTGCAAGGTATTTTGGGCAATTTATCTTCTAGTGCCCGTTTTCGTTGCAGTGGAAATATTTTTCTTTATCTGCTTTTTGAACCTTGTGTTTGCGGTCAGTAGGAATCTTATTTTTCCCCTTACCATTCTTCTTTATCAAAACACTTTTAGAAGTTGAAGGTCCGGACTTATTTTTGGAGGACGATCCTCGTAGTAATTTCTTAGAGATAGCAACATTTGCTTCTCCTCTTTGTCCCTTGTTCGTTAAGAGGGACTGATAAGTCTGTAGCTCATTGAGAAGAGCAGTCAAGTTATATTCTATCTTGTTCATCGTCACATTTGTGCGGAACTGGAAGAAGCTCTTCGGAAGAGACTCCATGGTAAAACTGACTTGACTCTTCTCATCAATGACATCTCCATTTTCTTCTGCCACATTGAAATGGACCATGATGTCAAGGACATGTTCTCTAATTGAAGTCCCTTCTTTCTCACGACAGTTGTAAATGTATTTTATGGCGTCATGTCTAAGGGAGAAGGACGGTTGTCCAAACATCCATTTCAGAGATTCCCTAATCTCTTTAGTAGTACCCATGACATCGTGTTTCTAAGCTAAACAACAGATAGGCTAGCTAAAATGTACATTCGGGCTTTGTCATTTGCCTTTGTCCATCTGTCATAGCATCCTGAACTGTTCTATTTGCATTTGAGCTGGGGTTTGGAGGACATTCCTCAGTTAAAACAAACCTTAAATCATCAATTACAAGTATTGTGTTTAGGTTTGATTTTCAAGTTGCGTAATTGTCACCGTTTAATTTCTCAGAAGCGAGTAATTGTACTATTGAGTTTGTCATGTTGTGATATAAAAAAAATTCTATTAGTGATTTGATTGAATCTTGTTTAATCCAATCAGGTTTAGAAATGTAATAATGTACCCAAAAATTATTAATTTGCAACGATACTTTAGTGAGTTAGAGCAACTGCTACCGAGGGGCAGTAAATCACTCCTTCACTAAACCAAGGCATTCTTGACTTAAACACTAATCCCAGAATAACTCTTGTTCCTGTAGTGTTTTAGTCATCGCTATTTTGGTCAAGAATATACTAACTCTTAGTAATTCTTCGTAAATGTGATCCATCAATTTCAGACCTCAGAGATCGATCCCAACAACGCTATCGAATAAAAAAGCCAAAGTTGGGAACAGACCTAAGAAATCCTATCCATTTCTTGAGTTTGCATTGTTTTGACTCCCATGTTACGACCCTTTGAATGGGTAGTTGCTCTAGGGTAACATTCAGGCCGAACATGGGAATCTCACGGTGCAACCTATTGGTGGAGACCATAGGACGTGTTGATATACTTCCTTCTCCCACTTACTATAAATACTTTCTCTATTCACCTCGTTATTGACTCATGCAAATACCTTTCGAATGGAGGACTCTCCAAGGGCGACACGAGGCCGAGCATGAATCTCACGATGTGAATTTTTTCAGAGAGCGTGAAAGGAAAACGATGTATCTCATATACCTTTTTCCTCACACTAAGTATTTTTTACGGTTGGGTATACTCATTATGTAATAGCCCAAAATTAAATAAAGAAATAACCGAATAAAAATAGTTAAAATTATAATAATTAATTAATTAATTAATTAATTTAAAAAAAAAAAAAAAAACTTTCCCCACTTCTCTCCACTAACCTCTCATCCCTTCCCACAATTATCTCTCCTCAACCTATCCTTACGCCAGCAAGTTACTGCAAAAAAGAAAGAGAAGATCAATAATTGTAAGATTTACTTGAGAAAAAAAATGAGAATGACCTTTACCCAATTGAGATTCACCGTAGATTTACGTGAAGATAGATCTGATCAACAAGGTATATATTAAATCTTTATTTTCTTTTATCCTATTTTTTTTGAAATCACACCTAGATCTTCATTGTATTATTAGAATGATCTGAGTTAGAAACTAAATGTCAATGATTCTAGTCAATCACGTCAGATTAGTAATGTTAGATTAAATTTTTATCAGTAGCGAAGTGAATAGATTAAAGATAGAATGGCCCAAAAAACTTCTGAATAGGAAACACTGAGATAAAGAAGGATTTAAGGATTTGGAAACAGGGGTTCACTGGAAATTTGGAAGGCATGACAACAGAATTAAAACAAACAGATAAAAAAAAAAAGAAGATTAGGGAATTAAAAATCACAAACTAAATATAGAGGGAAAAAGGTAAACACCGAGTGTAAATAGAGTGAGAGATAATTAAAAGAGAGAAAACACAGTAAGAGATAGAGAGAAGACCGTGAATATAATTGAAAATTATCTGGAAAATGTTGAAAGGGTATTAAACACCATCAGAGAAAATAGAATATATGGTAAATTTTAATGAGTATTAAATGGGTTGTATGAAAATAATACTATAACAAACATATATAAATATTTCAATACCTAATTCAAGCAAAGACTCTAACGTTCAAGACTCTAACGTTCGCATGAAGTATAACACATGGGTCAACATAAATTAGAGAAATAATTTTATAGAGTTCAAACCTGAAACTAATGTCATGGGCTCATATAGGTTGACTCGGATTTCAAAGGACGGAATCGAACTTGAATTAAAGATATATTCGTGACCACGACTTAAGCTGGCCAGGTAAGTGACCTTACTATCGACATGGTTATATTTGATGTTGACACGTGCCCTATGGTTCTGCACGTGTCATATATATTGATATGTGAATTGTCTGTGGATCGATATGCTTCCTATATGTTATGTTATGTTATGTTATTATATGTGATTTGTATGATAATAATTATGGTACGATGTGTTCAAGGATATGTTTGAGATAGGATATGAGAAGGATGCACAAAACAAAATGTAACGATAGAAGTAAGTTACGTTCATGAAACGTTAAGGTCAGGCTACATACCGGAGTGCTATGGATAGGATAGATTGATGAAAGAACACGGTTAGGTTATGGGTAGAAAGAGATAGGTTTGTGATAGATTGATAGAACGATAGTGTTGTGGTAAGTTAGAGAACGATAGAAGGGTTTACGTTATGACCTGTTTATGATATGGTACATTGTATGCTAGATTATTGTGCTTAAGTACGAAATCATGTGAACGTGAATGTATGTTATGCATGCTGCTTAGTTGTTGTGATATGAATGCATATGACGATGTGTGGCCCTTGTACGATTATGGCTTGTTATATGAGTATTGGAATGTAACTGAATGAATTGTATGACATGAAATATGGTAAATTGCATGATACATAACCCCGCTAGGAATATGTATGATATGTAACGAAATGAGAATGAGAATGACATGTAAGCATGAAAATATGACACGGGGTTATGTTCGTTAAATGATGACTGTAGGACTAGTGGGACCTCATGCATATTGTGTGATCATGCATTTGGGGGATACCCCTATCCTATCACGAGGGTACGGACGCGTACATCCAAATGGCAGGACAACGATCGTTATGCTCCGCATAGCGCTACCGTGACGGTTCTAGTTTTAACGGGTCCCAGTGGGCCCCAGAGCATGCCCACCGGCTAGGGACAGTGGCCCAGCGGTGTGCGAACTAGTTGGTGAGCCCATACTCGCACGTATGGGCTGCGTGTAGAGTATATGGTACACGTCCACGATTACCTACTAGGATTACACCGTTGGGAAAACGAAATAAAACGAAACGAAACGAAAAAGAAACGAAACGAAACTAAACGAAAGATAGGTCCCATCATT